ACTACTACTACTAGTACTAGTAGTTACCATATACTAACCCTGAACTCAAGCCTCTTCCGCGATACTCAGCGAAGCCCGCGCCATGGTCATGAGCCTGTCAGTCGCAGGGTGCACAAGGGTTCACTGTACATTTTGTACAGAAAAGTTGGGGGTTTAGGCGGTTTACGTTGGGTTTTGGGTTTAGGGGTAAATTTGGGGGTTTTGGGGCTCGCGAGTTTGGGAGTAGGGTCTCAGGTGAAGGATTTAGGATTCTAGGGTTTGGGGCTCGAAGCTTTTGAGTTGGGGGTCCAGGTCAGGTTTGAGATTCAGGGTTTTGGGACTTAGGGTTCAGGAGTTGCGGTTTCGAGGGCTCAGGGGATTTAAGATGGCGGACAAGCTTCAGAACCCAAGGTTCGGGTTTTGCCATACAAGTCCCCGGCGCCAACTGCATAACTTCACGTGCCCATTGGCCCATTGATGCGAAGACAAGAGTGTCCGCAGCTCTTTGCAAGTACATGCGCAACTTTACATAACTTCAGACTGTGTCTTACGATGCTTCATAGATTCCGGAGTTTGCAGGCATAGGTACCATGGGTCCCTGGTTGAGAACAGGTGCGAGCTGATACACCACAGCAGGCATCTGCATCCCGCAACAACTTGACAGAAAACACCAACGTATACACAATTTCAGGAACGTTTCACCCGGCTCAACCCAATATTTGCAAACATCTTTGTTTGACTCCTAAACTCCAAAGCTGTAAAATCCGAACCCAAACACCTTGAACCCAATCCTGATAATAAATATCAGCCCTAAAGCCCCAGATCCCGCAGAACACTTGAGTCGCCTGTCCCCCATAGCTGCGTCCTGAACGCACAGCGGCCCAAACACGCCGGCCTGAAGGAAGGGTTTTGGGGTCCAGGGGCCGTCAGAAATAGATAGGGGTTTTGTCGGGTTTTATAGGGTTTTTTTTTGGCATGAGTATATAAGAACCTTATGGTGATAGTCTGAATGGATGTTTGGGTCTTTCCTGAATGGGCGATCTACGACCAAAGCTCCTCCGCCTATAGGGTTTAGGGCTTGTTTCAGGTTCAAGGCTAAGTCCTGTCGAGCGGCACATTGCAAGAACATGGAGATCAGTTGCCGGTGGGCACCAGACTGCAAAAGTGGGCTGCGCTCGCCTTGGGCAGGTAATCACTGAATTCGTCTTTTCGCTTGCGGATTTTTCGTGGATCACTTAGCTTAAGGTCTCATCTAATTGATTGGAACACAAGCTGATGTCTAGCTGCTTAGCTCGGGATACGTTCGATTCAAGTCACGGTGGTTCTTTTTACGGGGCACCCTTGCGCACGAACACCTTCTTCCAAGTGACCCAGAAGTAGCCCATGCAGCTCTAAGAGCTGCTGGGAGAAGAAACCAGCGGCCAGAAGCCTGATTCAGGCTTCGGTGCAGACTTCAGAGAATGCAGTGAGTTACAGTTTTAGGGTTTCCTTTCCTTTACAGGAGGTAGGGAGACTTCGATTCCTCTTCCTCGGCACTGCATGTCTCACAGCTTTAAAGCCCTTGGGTTTGGGGGCGAAGCTTTGGTTGGCATGATGCTCAAGGACCATGAGGAGGCTTCGAGCTAATGTCGGGATCCTAAGCTGCGGTTTCGATTTGGGAAAATGAGCGGCAGAGCTAGTTCAAATCTGGGGGAACCTTTGAAGTTTTGCCCTGGACCTACGGACCTACTGATTCCAGAATCGTCGCACCCATCTCCTCCCTTTGAAACTGCCAAACAGAAACTGGCTGCCGAAGGATGCAGCTGCAATGATCAAATGACGCCAAGCGCCTATTTGTTCACTAAACTGAAATTCTTCACAAGTTGAAGCCCTCATGATATGTGCCATCTTCATTGAGGACCCCGACTGACTAGTGAAGCTTCAGAGAATCTCAACACTGAGGCTCCAGCTCTTTGGCCAAGGCCGACAATGCGTGCAAAGCCTTCCAACGAATCGACTCAGGACATGTAATGAAGTAATGAAGAACCCCGAGTAATGACCTCCTCCTTTGTTTAAGGGCCAGAAAAGTGCGATGTCCATTATGCTCATCCGGCTCCTCTGCCTACCCCGAAAACCCCCCGGAGCCGGCAAGTGACGAGCTCCCAGTTCCACAAACAGCTGCGGGGGACTGGAAAGGTGCTGGAACGACCCCAAACCCTGGTAGAACACATCCGCCTGCTTCCTCGCTCCTGCTTGCATTTTTCTGTTGCTATTGAAGTGTCATCCGAGGGTACCGCCCCAGGCAGGTCGGAACTCGACTGCCGAGCAGATTTGTGGAACCTCAATTTCGGGGAATCGCAGGCCCCTTCAATTCTAAGCGCTTAACGCTTTGATTCTCTCCTTGTGCCGGCCTCTTCGAGATGACGCCAATCACCAAGGAGCCGTCCGGCAATGTCACTGCGGATCTCCTGTCATGCCCCAAAATAGGAAAGAGCAAAATGAAAAAAATGGAGAGAAAGGGAAAGAACTGAGAGAAAAAAATGATAGACGGTGTAAGCTCAATCGTGCAGCTGTAAAGCTACAAGCCAATCCTAGGCTGCTCCTCCAAAAGCAGCGGCAAGAGCCTTCCCGGCGCCGCCTCGCGCTGCCGTGCCTAAGGCTTGGGGGTTCGGGGCTTCGCAAACCAGGGATTTTGGAGAGCTCAGCCGCTGATGGAATTATATATTATATAGGTTTTAGGCTATGGCCTTATAGGCTTCGACTTCATGGTGTAGGGTTTCGAGTCCAAAGTTTGGGGGTGGAGGACTTGGGAATACCAGTCAAGGTTTGTTGGAATGTTCCTGACTCACAGGGTTTAGGGTTGACGTTTTTGAGCCGCGTTACTTCCACATTCTAGTCTTCCGCATGCTGATTTGTGTCAGGTCTAAATTGCATGTATAACGAGGCCATTCGGAACTTGTAGAAGCTCTTATACGGCTCGGAGACAGGGCTGGCAGGCAGGGTGGACGTTCCAAACACGTACACGCGCATCAACAGAGAGACGAAAAGAGAAGGCAAGTTCAGCTTGGTCCGGTTTCGCTGCTCAGACTCTGAGAATGTCAGTAGGAGAGGACATCAGACCGTTTGGAACTCCCACACAGGAAGGCTTCCGATAAGTTGAAGCCAAATTCCTGAAATCCCAACCCAGACTTCTTGGACCATGCTCCGAACCGCGCCTGTTCTCAATCCTCATCCCGACTCATCTTTTTCATCCCGCTAACGCCGGACTCGAAGAAGCCTGAACCCTGCGAGCCCAATCCCTTTGTTGATCCCCCAAACCCCCGCCCTAAACCCTAAACATCCCTACTCTCTGGACGCGAACTAACCCCTTCAAATTAACCCAAACCCCGAAAACCTAAACTCTAAACCCTCAACCCCTAAGCCCGAAGCACCCCAAGCCCCCCTAAACCCCTCTATAACGAAACCCGAAGAGGAACCTTGGGACTGGCCGTGGCTTTCGGCGAGGGGCCTGTCGCACAGCTTTGAGGGTTTTTGCAGTTTTTTGGGGGGGGTTTCGGGGTTTGGGGGTTTTGGGGATGTTTTAGGATTTTGGAATTTTGGGCGTCGGGCTTTGGGGTTTGTTTTGCTTTGTCTTTGTTGAAGCCCTTTTCTCCCTAATCCGCTCCCAGGAAAAGAGGTGTTTCGGGTTTTGGGTTTAGGGTTTAAGGCGTT